TAAATAAATCTCATTAGTTTTTTACTATTTCCTATATATTATGTCCTGTGTATTATCTCCCCAAAGAAAGAAACTGTAACTTCCTCAAAGACACAATCTCTTTTAACTTTGTCTTGTAACTATCACAAAAGAGAGTGGGCATATATTTGCCAAAAAAAGACAGGTGAGATTCCCTGGACCCCAAGGAATCAGGAGAGCAGGGTTCTAGTACAAGGTCTGCCATTCATTAGTTGTGTTACCTTAGGTAAGTAATTCTGTTCCCTCCTCCCTCCCTCCACTCTTTCTACCCCCGTCCAAGTTTCCTCCTCTATAAAATAAACTGATCTCTAGGTCCCTTCCAGCTAGGTGGCTCAATGGTTAGAGCCCTGGGGCCTTGAGTCAGGAAGATATGAATTCAAATCCAGCCTCAGATACTTTCTAGCTGTATGACACTGGGCAAGTCACTTAACCTCTGTCTGCCTCAGTTTCCTCAACTGTAAAATGAAATAATATGTCTATATCACTTAGCACAATGCTTGGCACATAGTAAGTGCTTAATAAATAGTTGTACCCTTCCCTTTCTAGCTATGAAATGTTATGATCCTAGGATTCCATACCAGATTTAGGGAGGATTGGACAAGCCAGACCAATCAAATTGCATTATACTTTGACCAAAGTGTTAGAGATGGCAGACTGCTATTATCCTCATAGGGCACAGGGCAAATCCTGGTTATCTTCTAAGGGAATCCAACTCTTGCCTCAGGAGGTCCATCCAGGGCAAAGCGTCCAGGGTATTACAGGCCTCATGGTAAGCCAAGAGTGGATTTTCTTCTGTCTTCCTTAGACTGAGACAATTCATCCCACAAGGACAGAGTCCTATGCCTTCTGGGACAGAGAGTTAGGTATTTGCTCAGAGAAGGGTCTGAAGCCAAAGTGCTGTAGAAGTGAGAATAGAGGTGGCATAACCCCTTCCCTCGAGAAGCTGGCACAACCCCATGGGAGCCCTTATCAGACAAGGTTTCATGGAGGACCTGACCCTGCCTTCTGGGCATGGCCACCAGCTGAGGAAAGGGAAGGCTTCCAAGCAGGCTTGCCCTTCTCCTCCACCCCATACACACACAGAGAGACCCAATGTAGAGACAAGAAGCAGTTACCTCTGTTACCACAGTAGGGAAGACTAAAGGCACTCTGTGGGAGGAAGGGAAAGAAGGAGGGAGGGAAGGAGACTTGCAAATGGATAAACCCTATAGATTTTCCTTTTTCTGCAACTTTGTATGGCTCAGGGACCTGGACATCCAAAATATGCAAGTGGAGGTGGGACAAGGTGTCATATCAGAGGCTTCAAGTTGAAAGGACTTTAGACGTCATCTAGTGCATCCTTATGCCTATCATGAATCCCTATTACAACATCCAAACAAATGTCCAGTGGTGGAGAACACTAACCTCTACATAGCTCTCTGAGTTTTACAAAATGCGGCTTTCACATAACCCTATGAGGTAAGTCGTGCAAATGTTATTAGACCCATTTTGCAGAAGAAATAGAGGCATGGGGAAATGAAGTGACTTGCCCAAAGACACATAGCTAGGAAGTATCCGAGCCAGGATTTGAACACTGCAGGTCTGCTGTTTTCTCCCACACCACACGACTCACTTTGTCTTACTGGTAAGGTTATGCCAACCTCCAGAGGCAAGCTAATACTCTTCTACCATCCTAGTAAAGTGTCTCATGTACGTTGTTGAGTTGTTTTTTCAGTTGTGTCCTACTCTTTGTGACCTACTTGGGATTTTCTTTACAAAGATACTAGAACGGTTTGCCAATTCCTTTTCCAGCTCATTTTACACAATGAGGAAACTTAAGCAAACAGGGTTAAGTGACTTGGCTAGGGTCACACAGCTGCTAAGTATTTGAGGCCAGATTTGAACTCAGGAAGAGCAGTCTTCCTGCCTCCCAGTCCAGCATTCTATCCACTGTGCCACCTAGCTGCCCCATAAGGATGGTTAGAAGGAACTAGAGATGCTAATCCTGGGAAGAGACAACTCAAGAGGAACATGGTAGCTGTCTTCAAGTATTTGAAGGGCTGTCATGTGGAAGAGGCATTGAATTTGTTTTTAGGAAGGCAGAACCAAGAGCACTAGTTTGGAAGAGACAAAGAAGCAAATTTAGGGATACTACCAGGAAAACTCTTGAACAATTAAAGTTATCAACAAGTGCAGTGGGCTGCCTTGAAATTTAGTGGGCTCCCTCTTGTTGAAGATCTTTAAGAAAAGCTTGAATGGTGGCAGCTAAATGACGCAGTAGATGGAGCATTGACCCTGGAGTCAGGAGGACCTGAGTTCAAATCCAGCCTCAGACACTTACTAGCTGTGTGACCCTGGGTAAGTCACTTAACCCTGATTGCCTCCTTTAAAAAAAAAAGAAAAGAAAAGAAAAGCCTGAATGACTACCATTTACTGGGTATATTATATTGGGATTCTTTTGAGAGCTATGCTTTGGTCCCTCCCAAATATGAAATTCTGGTAGAACAAAGGAGTAAATCTCTTCCAGCTCTAAATGTGTGATTCCATTATCCTGTGAATTCATGATGCTGACTACAGAGCACTCTTTCTTCTATTAAAAGCCTTCTCACATTTTTAATATCTAAGAATTTTACATATATCATATTACAATCTTTCATATCACATTATATGTTATATTATGTTATATTGTGTTATGTTGTTACATTATACTATATTTTCATCTTGGTATCCAGCAATATCATTCCTACTCCTACTGATAGATAGTGGGCTTCCATGCCTTCTTCTCCCTCTGAGTATCTATACCATAAAAATGGAGCCTAGAGAAAGTAGAATTTAGTCCAAGGAAGTGATGGATTTAGCCCAAATGAGTGTTTGGTACCTAGGACACGTTTATGTGTCTGGCAGGGGGGTTGAGAAGTTGACGGGTTTGTTTATTTGTCCATCTTTATGAGGAACAACTAGCCCATGTCTGCCTCCCACCAATGAGGTTCAAAGAACTTAATGCACAGACCCAGCTGCTCAAGAAGTTAAAAAAACAAACAAAAAACTCCTTATCCCAGAGCTACTGGGACTGGGCACTTCTCTCAGCGTCTAGGCAGGACAGTTAGCCACATACGTCACCAATCCTCTCTGGGTCTCAGTTTCCTCATCTATAAAACAAGGACATTGGGGCCAGATGATCTCTAAGACACCTTCCAATTCAGACATTTTTATTCTAATAATTTCTCCCCACTGCCCCATCCTTTAATATCTGGGCCTCTAAACATGAAATGTCTAATTCTAGTACCTCACCTGGGCTACCCCTCATCTGGTTCCACTTGGAGCCCCAAGTTCACTGCATCAAAGAGTTTCTGGCCCCTCATGTCACCTAATCCCTGTGGGAGACTATTCAAATCAAAAAGTAGAAGTGAAAAACCCAGTGACTCGGTAAGTGGATTTATTTTCAGACCAGCGTGAGGGCAGTGACCTGAAGAGACTGAGCTTAAAGCAAGCTGGTCAACAGTCCCTTCCTGGTAACAATAGGTTCTTCTCTCACTCCAAGTAACCGCCCTTAGGCCTGCGGCTGTTCTCTGCTTTACAGATGTTCTGTCTCAATGGAGGGATGAGGGCTTGAAAATAGAATCTGAGCCAGTCACCTATCAGGGGCCAAGATTGGATTATCTTGGAAGAAACTCCTTTCTTTCTCCCAAAGCAGGAACCATACATCCAAAAAATGTGCGGTACCATATGGCCCAACTTTGAGCTCTGCAGCTGTGAGCAAATGCAAGAGGATGTAGGCCCACTCAGCATCCTATTCTGCTGGGAAGAGGCCTGGCTGGCAGTGAGTTTCATCACTCTTCTTTTAGCCCTTCTCCAATGGTGCATCAGCTTATAGGGGTCAGGAGCAGCTGACCTGACCCCCTCCCTAACTCCTTAGCAATACTTAAGAGCAGACTTTTCCAGGCTAGATGAAAAAGAAGAACTTGGTAGGTACTAAGAGGCATCCTTGCCTGTAGCAAATACATCAGAGAATCACAGTGCTATTCACACTGGCACCAAAAACTAAGGGGTACAGGTCTGTTGGAAAGAATCTTGGGCTGATAATAATAGCTAGTATTTGTATATTGCCTTAAGGTTTGCAACGCACTTTACAAATATTATCTCATTTGATCCTCACAACAACCCTGGATGGTAGATGCTATTATTATCATTCCTACTTTACCGATGAAGGAAACTGAGGCAAACAGAAGTTAAATGACTTATTCAAGGCCACACAGCCAGCAAGTGTCTGAGGCTGGATTTGAACTCAGATCCTCCTGACTCCAAGTCCAGAACTCTATCCACTGTGCCATCTTGCCGTCTTGAAACAGCTTGTCTAGTCATGAGAACTAAGTTCCAATCCCAGCTTTGTGACCTTGGATAAGACACATCACCATTAAGGGATTCAGTTTCCTTATCTGACAAGTGGGAAGAATATCTACCCTGATCCTCTTGCTGGACTCTTATCATTCTCTCTGCCTGGAACCTCTTATCTACAAATCTGGGAATCCCACCAAGGCCCAATTACACACACACACACACACACACACACACACACACACACACACAGATGGGCATGCACACATGTGTACACATGAACCCATGATACCTTCTCTGATTTCCCCAGCTTGAAGTCATCTCTTCTTCTGATTCTCCATAGCAACCCCTTATATTTTTTGGAGGGATGCTTTATTTTGGCAGTCATCCCATTCAGCTTTGTATTGTAGTCATTTGTGTATGTGTCTAACCTACCTCCACTATATAGTAGTTTCTTTAAGGTCGGAGACTGTGCCTTCTCCCATCTTGGCCACAGAGTTGGGCACATAGCAATCATTTATCTCCATACTGATTTCCCTTTAATTCTCCCCACCTTGGTAGTACAGACTAACCCATTCTAGCTAACTCCCTGTGGAAGACCCCAAAGACATCAGAGACCCCCAAGAGTGGCCAGTTTGGAAGAGAAGGGGTAGACAAGAAAGACTTACTTCACAGAGACTGAGAATTCTCCTGGGGAACTCTCACTCTCTCTGATCAAGAAGGCTCCCAGGTGATTTCGTCTGAGCAAAATCTCTTCTGCAAACTGCCTGGAGATCCTACCTGCAAACCACCTATGGAAAGAAAGGCAGATAGTCTGAGAGGTCTGATGTTCCCAAGGGAGCAAGTGAAAAGAAAAGAACAAAGAACAAGAAAAGTGCCCCCAAAGAAAAACAGGACCATTCAGGCATTTAGAGCCAAGAATTCCTTCTAAGCAAACAGCTGAGAACATAGAAGGCATTGATTCCACCTCTAGAACCATGAAATATGAGAACTGGAAGAGAATGTAGAAGTCACTGGGTGACTAGGCCAATCCTCTCAGTTTACCAGGAAGGAAGAAACCAAGGCCTAGAGAAAGAAAACCACATGCCCGAGGTAAATTAGTGGAAGAGGTGGGCCCTCCTGACTCTCAGTGCAGGTTCCTTCGCACTGTACCACATTCCTTCACATTCCCAGCATATTTGCCTTAGAGGCCCAACCTCTGACGATGGGACCAGAGGCTTTGTCCCCTGGTAAACAAAGGCAGTCAACAGGAATGGAAAGCCGGAACCCTTAAAATCATACTAGCAGGTAGTCTCTTGCTTGGCAAATAATCATCCCTGCAAATGGCTGGCCTTGCTGGAGATGAACACAAAACCCACAGGGAGAAGACAGAGTAGCCAGCACGGTGCGGGGAGGACTAGATGGGGAGGCTGAGTCCTGCTTCCATCCCTAGCTAGTTGTGTGACCTTGGGTAAGGTCTCTGAGACTTTTTTCTCATCTGTAAATCGGAGTAAATACCTCACAGAGTTTTCTCATGTGGCATGAAATAATATCTATCTTGTATTACGTCGACATAAAGACTGTTCACTATCAGTTTTCTGCATATGATTCCCCTTTCCAATGAGACAATGACTTTGTCTTCATTTTCTTTTGCCTCCCCTGCTCCGAGTTTTATATATGTCCCTGAGCATATAGGACAGACTTGTTAGTGTCAAGAAAAAATGGACATTTTCCCTTCTCTATTGCCTGGTCAGCTCAGGATTAGGTCTGTGAGGAACTGTCCTGCATATTTCCTACTCCTCCTCTTCCTTCATACCCCACTGAGCCCCACAGGGGAAAGTTTCAGGTTGAATCAGTCATAGATGGGAGATCCCCCAGGGCTATTCTGGGACCTAAAGAGTACCTGTTTTATATCAACAAGAAGCTATAGTTTGGCAGCTGATGCTACTACCTCCATTCATCTGTCGGTGGGAGATGAAGGTCAGGGAGTATCTTCTTCTCTGTGCTATCCCTCCCCCACGGTAGCTAATAGGATAGGGCACATCATCTATATAGAATAGGACACTAACTTGACCAGGGACCTTGACCTGAACTGTGAGTTTTCTCAGGAAGGAAAATGAGGACATCAGAATAGGAAGGAGAAGACAAAGAGACAGAAAGTCAGATGCTTCCAGCCTTCACTTGTCCTCCAAAATAGATTGGGAAACTCATGAAATATAACACATTTCACATGAAATTTCCTGGTTTATCATTGCCAACATTGCTCCCCTGCTCACTGGCCTTCAAAGACTCCCTATTACTTCCAGAATAACTTGTAAAATCCTCAGCCTGGCATTTAGGACCCAGTCCAATCTTATTTCCAATCTTATTTCTTATTAGTCCCCAAATCACAGCCTCTGCTATAGCCAGACTCTCTTAGTGTTGGTTAGAGTTGGCTACAGCATACCCCTGAAGAGAAATCTTGGACCCTGGAACATAATCTCCCCCATGGAGGAGGTGGGGCAAAATAGGAGAGAGAAAGAGACCCTGGGATACTGAAATGCTGCTATTGGAAACAGGGTGGGGAAAGCTTCACTTACGGTTTGCCTCAGTGACAAGGGGGGCGGGAGAGGAAGCACCATATGGCAGCTTCTTACTTTCACTAATTAATTTTTGTTAGCCAGTTCCTAAATTCAACAGTTTCCATAGCCAGATAAGAAGGTCAAGTGCAGTCATTGTCCTCTAAATTTAGATGTCCTGGGGAAAACCTATAATGATCCCCTCAGAGTGGAGGTAGATTTGAAACCTGGTTTTTCTATGTAGAGGGTGTGCCTGATTGTCTAGACTTCAGAAAGTAATGAAGAAATTTTTAATAATGCAGATTAAACTTAAGTGTTGTGTAGGCATCCTCCCCCGGCCCCAGAGCTGGCTGTAAAACCTATACCAGCACACCCCTGTCTCCATCCAAGCTCTTCCTAGACCTTGTCAATGTTCAAAATTTTTTGTACAAGGTGCAAAAATTCTCATTGTCTACTGATGAATTTTTATGGTATTGATGATATCTACTAAAAAAAATTTTTTTTAAGTATGAGATTCCCTTTACATAGTTAATTCTTTGTCAAGGTTATGCCTGGATTAAACTCACCTTAGTGATGAAGTTCACTGGTACTTATTACCCAGATGATGTCTAATTACTGATGAAGTTAACATCTGTGCTACTTTCCTAGGCTACTTTCCCTTAAAAAGAGAGCTAGAGTCCACAGAGAGGAAATAAAGAGAGAGGGCTTATACGTTAGAGAATGGGCTTGGGTCCTAGGGTAGGAGGGAGGAGCAGGCATGAAAGTCTATCCAGACAGTCTCCCCAGGGATCCTCTTAGCCCCAGAGATAGTATAAGTAACAAAATGGTGAAGAAATTCCTGGACTGGATATCGGGGTGCCTGGATCAAGTGAAAGCTTGAGTCATCAAACCATCAAAGAATAGAGCCATGAAGTCAACCCAGCCTTTGCCCTTCACTGCTACTGAGCTATATGGACTGTGCAAATCTGGGACATTAACCCTGAGTTCTTCTCTCATTCTGGGAGGCCTCAATCAAATACTACAAATCTTAAGGACTACATTCCCCTGGGAATATAGGTCTCACCAGAAGAAAAGATTGCTTGACTTTCTAACAACACTGAGTATTCTCCATTTTCGTGGGGGAGGTGTCAATATTAGAATAGCTTAAGACTGGAGCACTATATAGGTCCCCGCAGGGAGATGGTAGCATATTAAAAAGGAAAGGATTTATTTGATTATTTATGGCCTTGGATAGGTGTCCTTTAAGTTTTTTGTTGCATTAAATGAAGACTTGCAAATGAAAACTTGAAGACAAAAAAGATGCCAAACTGTATTGGTAGGGACAGTTTATTCACCTTACCACACCAGTAAAATCACAAGGTTCAGTCCCTATTCTGAAATGAAGCCTGCCCTATGTTAGATATATTGTTAGCCCAAGTGCTTGCATAGGAACTTTCCTCTAGAGAACTAGACATAAGCCAAATTCAGAAATTCCCAGGGAATAACCTGGATGGTCAAAGGAGCCCCCAGTATTGAATCTAGTCCATGTAAATCCTGATCTTTAGTCCTGAGCCATGGTGTATGTGACCTTGGGCAAGTTATTTTGCATCTCTGTGCTTTCACATCTTCATCTGTGAAATTAAGATAATAATAACTGCCCTACATAGGATTACTGTGAGGATCAAGTGAGATAATACGTGTGAAAGTATTTTATAAGCTGTTGAGTGTTACATAAATGCAACTTGTGACTATTATTCATTGAATTAAGTCTTCTATATAAAACCAGCACACCCAACACCATGTGGCTCCCTTAGTTGGATATATTCTGGTTATCAGACCCTTAGAGGAGTTCTCAGTCTGAGACAAGAGGCACA